CCCCCTATGCATCCCCCACACTCCCTTTCTTTCCCCCTCTGTCTCCCCATCTCCTCCAGGGGTCCTGCTGGTGGGTGGAGAACTCAAGCAGCACCTTCCATTTGTAGAAAGTTTGGGGGGGTCAAGCTGCCCTTGGCCGAGGCACCACCCAGGGACCCCACCAACCCTACAGCCTCCATCGTTTTGTTAATACTCCCATGAGCATATTTTTTCCATTGCTTTTCAGAGAGTGGGAGGGAGGAAGGGAGGGGAGGGGGAGAGTGTGAGACACATCAACCAGTTGCCTCCCGAATGAACCCCAGCCAGGGGCAGGGAGCAAACCGGAAACCCAGGTACATGCTCTTGACCGGAAATCAAACCTGAGTCCCTTTGGTGCTCAGGCCTGATGCTCTAACCACTGAGCCACGCTGGCCAGATCTGTAGTCTTCATCTTGAGGGCTGCCCATCGCCCTGGCACCCGCTGGGGCCTCCCTCAGCCCCTGGCAGGCAGGGCCCGGGTCTGATGAGCACCTTCTGGCGGCCACGGGTCTGTTTCAGCCAGACAGGGCCATGGGACCCCAAGGACACGGGACACACCTAACCCCTCACCCCCAGAACGTGTCGCTGAGGAGCAGATCTGCCGCAACCCTGGCCTGAGTCACAATCTCTGGAAAGCACCTCAACTCCTGAGTTTCCTGGGAAGATAAGACACGTTGGGGTGGAGGCGGCTGCGTCTCCATCCACCCCAGGCACAGCCACGGTGGGGGGTCCGCGGCCCTGAACACCGACCGCCACAGGGGCCGGCGGCCCCTCCAGGAGAGAGTCCTTTCCTGACCCCTGAACCCAGCCCAGCTTGGGGAGCAGGTGTGCTCCTGAATGCCCAGGACACCCTGGGATGGGAGTGGGGGAGTGAGGGCCCCAGGTCCTGGTCCAGGATCCTGAGTGGCCAGGCCTGACATTGTGGGCCCACGTCACAGCCCCGGGGCAGCCGGGGACCTGGATAGCCCGCTGCAGCGTCCTAGGACGGGGAGCCGGGAGGGGCTGGTGTCCAGTTCTGTTTGGGATGGATCTCCTCCCAGTCCCGCCGTGGGTCTCTCTCCAGCTGGGGTTCCCACGCTGGCTGAGTCCCAGCCTCAGTAACGCGACGGGCAGGGGCCGGCTCCAGCAGGTGAAGGGTGGGTGCTGGGTGAGGAGCTGCTGTGGCCGGAAGCCCTTCTGAGAACAGAGTGGCCCCTGGATCCTTATCTGAGACTCAGCTCCAACCCGGGGAGGGGCTGTGGTTTTCCGGACCAGCTGGAGGGCTGCTCCTGGGGACAGGGTTCCCAGGCAGAGCACCACCTCGGCCCCTCGGGCCTGGTCGCCCAGGTCAGGCAGGGGACCAGCCTCTGCAGGTGGGCGCATACCTGCCCCATGCTAGGAATCTGGGCTGAGTGCGAGGGGAAGGCAGCCTCTCGCAGCACCTGTCCCCCGCCCCCTTTCCCCAAAGGCAGCGCCCGTGAGTCTTCTGAGTGCCCCCTGCCCAGGACACTGCCCCCCCAGGACACCCACCTTTCCCACCTCTGAACTTGGAGTCACTCGGGCCTCCCCTAAACCTACACTCCTGGGCTGCCTCCAAACACCTGTGGCAGGCCGGGGTCCCCGCCTGACCCCCAGCCTCAGCGCCTGCGCGGTGCACAGGCCCTTTTCACGGCAGAGTTGGGGTACACAGAGCCAGGCCAAGCTTGAAAATTGTGGGGTCCTGGGGGCTCGAGGAGAATACCTGGGCAGGGACATGAGCTGGGGGCAGTGAGAGCCCGAGGGGCACATGGCGGAGGGGGAGGTGGCGTGGAGGGAACCTCCCTCCAGCCCTCCCAGGGTCCTGAGCGTCCTGGGGCCAAACCCCTCCTGCCCAGACCCCAAGCCTGGCCTCACCTCCCACCCGCCACGCTCTGTCCTGGGCGGCCCTGGAATCCCCCGCTGCTCTGCGTCAGCCCCGCCTCGGGGCCTCGCTGCCCCCGCGCTGACGTCCGTCAGGACGACGTGTTCCCACGCGCAAGACGCCCATGAGGAGTTTCCGCGCTGAGTCAGCCCTGCCACCCACCCATGAGGCCCCTCGGGACCTGGGCGTGGGCAGGCCAGGGTGGTTTCTGAGGAAGGTCCTCAGATTACCTGACTCCCGGCCCCTCCCAGAGGGCTGAGCCAGGCTCCCGACCTCTTTCCCCGGGGCAGCCTGGGCGGCGGGTCCTCAGGCTGGAGCCTCAAGTGACCCAGGTGACAAGGGCAAGCCCCAAGGAAAGCTGGCTTCCCGAAGGAGGGTGGAGGAGGCGTTGGCAGGACAGGAGGCCTGGCCTGGAGGCGGAGGAGTGGCTGGCAGGCCCCAGAGCCGTCTGCGCTGAGGGCTCTGCTAGACCTCCTGCCAGCCCACCTGCGTTTTCTTATTTATTAACTAATTCCCCTGGATACTCCCCAGGAACCTGGGCTCCTAGAGCCTGGGATCCAGCAGGCACAGAGGGTGCCCAAGGAAAAGTATTTCCCAAGAGAGTGAAGTTGTGTTATCCCCACCCTCCTTCCAGGGGTAAAAATGAGCTGTGCTACGCCAGGGTGGGGCAATGCCCCTGGGTGGGACACACCCAGAGCCCCTCTCTCCGCCAGCTACCTGCTATGGGCAGCGCCCACCTGGCGCACTGCCCACTGAGACCGGGTGGGAGCAAGGACCGAGTCTCGAGGGCTCTACTAGGCAGCGTGCCGGCAGGAGGGGAGGGCAGGGGGAAAGGGCACCTGGGCTGCTGGCAGGTGGCGAGGTGTGCGAGCACCTGGAGGGTGCTGCCGCTGGGACGGGCCTCCACTGGCCTGCCTGCCGCACCCGGGGTGACTGTGCCAACGAGTCCTTATCAGTCCTTACCAGGCGGGGAGGGAGCTGCTCGCCTCCACTGGGTAGAGCCCAGAACCGTGCTCTGAGGGACGGTCCCGTGAGTTGGTGGAGGCCAGCAGCAGGATTTGGGGAGAGGGTGGGGGCCAAAAGCAGGCCACCCCGAGACTGCCTGCCACCAGGAAGTGTTGAGCGTAGAAGCTGACCTCACCCTAGGCTTTGGGCCCAAATGACATAAGGGCAGGCCCTGCGCCCCCCTCCCCCCGCCCCAGGCTGTGTGGCCAGCCCGAGCCCAGAGTCCAGGGCAGTTGTGGCCCTGAGATCGGACACAGGCCCAGGACCCTGCTGTCCTAGCGTGTGCCAGGTAGGCTGCCAGGGGAAGGGGATTGGACAGGGCAGCAAAGAGGCACAGAGGATAGCTGTCCAGCCTCGCCCCCTCTTCCAGGAAGCCTACGGAGCCCCAGGGTCCCCACTCTGGAACAGCCCGACTTCTGCTTCCCAACCCTAACCCCAACCCTAACCCCAACCCTAACCCCAACCCTAACCCCAACTAGTGTGGGAGGGACTGTGGGCACTGGCGGGGAGGAGCTGGAGCCCACGCCTCGTGTCCCTGCCCCTGCCTCCCCCACATGTCCACTCAGGTCGCTGGACAAATATTTATTGAGGGCTGCCTGCAGCCAGGGTTTGGGCTGGGTACGGCCTCCTGTCTGGGGAACTAGGGGCCCACAGACCCCACCGCAGTAGGGCTGGCGAGGGAGGGAGGCGGCCACAGCCCCGTCTGTGTCTCCCACAGTCTATTCACAGCTGCTGCCTCTTCTGCATGGTCTGGAGACTGGGCACTGTCACCATCCCCACCCACTTCCGCGTGGAGGGGAGCAGGGCGGGGCCAGGTCAGGGCCCCTCGGGCCCTTGCTTCCAAGGGTCAGCCCTGGGCGAGTTCCAGGGAGGTCTGGCTCAAGGTCCACGGTGCCAGAAGGCGAACAGGCCTCGTTCACAGGTTCCCCAGCTGGCCCTTGTCCTCCGACGGCTGCTCCCCCCGCTCCTCCTCGGGGAACTGGCAGCTGCAGGCGTCCTCGGCTGGGGGCGGTGCCTCCAGGAGCAGCTGGGTCTCTGCAAAGGGGCTGCGGTCAGCGGGTAGGCCGGGCCCGCTTCCCCCACCCCAGGGGAGCACAACTGACCTGGGGAGCACACTCGCTGCCTCCTCAGCTGCCAGATGTGCAGGCTGAGCTGGACCACAGCCAGGACGAGGGTGCAGGTGGCCACGGGGAGGAGGAGGGTCAGGGGGAGGCGGGGCTCAGTGGGCAGCAGCGCCGGGCCGCACACGGCGTTGTGCGTCTTGTTCCCAGGGAACACGGTGCGAAACCCCGGCTGGGAGCAGCTGGGACACACGGACAGAGAGCCCTCGGTCAGCCCTAGCACCCAGCAGCCCTCCACGCTGCCGGCCAGCACCAGGAGGGCGGGGGGGCCCCTCCCTGGGAGCCGCCTGCAGGCCACCGGGACTCACTCTGCCCAAGGTTTACAGCAGCCCCTGCTGCCCCCAGAGAAGGTCCCTGCAGCGCAGTCGACACACTCGAAGCCGAAGGTGAACTCCCCTGGAGACAGACAGATGGACAGAAAGACAGATGGCTGCGGGGCTGCTGGATGGGTGTGGACTGCGCCCCCAAGCCCTCAACAGAGGTCTCCAATGCCCGCAGAACCAGGGCTGGGACGGGCAGTGCCAGTGTGTACCCGGTCCAGGCAGGCGTCTTGGGGGGACCCAGAGGCTGGGACCCTAGGCGGGTGGAGGCTCCCCGGCGAGGGGCACGGGGAGGAGGGCAGTGTGAAAGCAGAGGCCAGGCCAGCGCCAGGCCAGGCGGCCTCACGCTCGGTCCAGCAGCTGGAGGGCAGGAGGCCAGAGGGGGTCCTGGAGAGGGCGCTGAGGCTGGCCTCCCAGTTCACCCGGCTCTGCGCCTCCAATCACACAGGGCTCCCCTCAGTCTGCGCTCGACCGGCGCCTCCCGTCACGTGAACAGGCTCCCATGGGATCTGAGCTGTTCCTTCCGGAAAAGGGGCTGGCCCCCAGATGGGGCTCAGGGGCTTGACTGTCCCCACGCAGACGGTCAGGGGGGTGCAGGACCCGCGTGCGGTCAGAGCCGGGGCCCTAGGACCGACAGCCCCTGGACACCCCCTGCACAGCCCCACTGCTCCTCACGATCAGCCCCGAGGGGCACCAGTGCCCTCCTCCAGGCCGGGAGAGGAAAGGATTTGCCAACATGCAGGGACAGAGCCCCGGTGCCCCTGCCCTGAGGACATGTCTGTACCCCCCACGCCCGCCGACTTCCTTCCACACCGGCCACTCGAGTGCAGCGCTTCCCACGAGCTCTGGCCGGAGCCAGCGGGGACTCACCGTGGGCCTTCACCTCCTGGCCGGCCAGGCAGGGGTGGCGTTTGCAGGTCTTACACTCTGGGTCCGCACAGTGGAACCCGGGCTCGACACACGTGCAGTTCCCCTTCGGACAGGCCTCTGTTGGGCAGGAGACAAACTAGCCGGGCCTCTCAGCAGCTGGGCCGAGCCCTCCTCCCCAGGGCTCCCCGATTCTCCAGCCCCCCAGGGTGAGGGGGTGTCAGGGCGGGACAGCCCACGGTCCCCACCCTCAAACACCGCCAGGGGGCAGAGGGCGCCTGTCTAGGAGCCAGGACCCTTGCTTAGTCCAGCCGAGTCCCTTCCCCCTGGACACCCGCTCCTCCACCTGCGTGGGCTGGCTGTGCCCCCGCAGCCTTGAAACTAGAACTGCTCCCACCCAGTGCGCTGTGGCTCAGCATGTGACCAGGAGCTGTCCCTGCAGGACAAGGAAGTGGCCTGGGCCCCCCTCCCTGCACTGCCCCCAGCTG